TCGGAACATAGTATAAGAGGTAACTCTCACCAGTAACACTCAGATGCTGACATTGAACTATGCACCTATGCACTGAATTATGCAATTAATCTAATCGATCATATCTAATTGGAAAATACCCCGTAAAACAAAACTTTATTGCTACACGGTGCGATTCATGGCGCTTAGAATACAGCATAAATAATACATGATAATAATAATACAGCCCGTGTTCAAGTTAGCGGATTCAACTAACCAGAGCCGACACAGTAATAAACATAATGAGTTTTCATTAAAACATCGTTCTTTCTTATTTCATCCGGCGGGTCGATTTCCTCGCAGTATATACAGTAGGTTTAAGGCCCACCCAGCTCTGTAAGTGTTCGCGTAAACACACTGGCATCATACACTGCTTCCAATAAGCACAGTACATCTTATACGCGCCAATATATATATATATATATACTCGCTGCCTATTTTAGTTACTTAACGATAACTGTTTACACGGAGCGCCGTTATTACGTTAACGTGCGCAGAGGCACTGATGTGCACACGTGTAAAATCCGTAATGTATAGACAGGCGTATTTATCCTCGGCCGTGATTGTTTTACAGGCAAAGCGAAGAACATAAAACCGGCACGTGTCGTCACCGAGACGAAGTCACTTACAAGATTGGCGATTTTCCAGCGTGTGACGCGCGGCCGGGGCTCTTATTCCGAACTGCTCGATTTCGAATTTCGAATTTTTAATTTCGGATCTCGCCGAACCGATCGTATAATCCGATCGGCAACAAAAGCGCTTTAGAATTTCGAATTTCAAATGTCGAATTTCAGACATCAAACATCGAATGTTGATGTAGAGGCAAATTCCGAATGTCGACTTTCGAAATGTGACCGATTTTCAAATTTCAAAGGTCGAACGTCGAATTTCAAAGATAAAAATACCGAATGTCAAACTTCACAATGTGACCGATTTTCGAAATGTGACCGATTTTCGAAATGTGACCGATTTTCTAATTTCGAACGTCGAATATTTCGAATTTAGACTTCTAGAGACTTTCTCGCATACACTTACATAATTGCCGATCTCTAGTGTGTGGCGCGTGCGGTCCGTCATGCCGTGGTGCTCGACCGCCAGGAAGGCGGTGTTTAGGACGATGCATAGCGTTATGAAGAGATCGAACAGGGGATCGGTGACGATGGTAAATAGCCATTGCTGGAAGCGCAGCCAGGGCGTGTAGCAGCAACACAGACGCCGGAAGCAGGCACAGTTCCGCGCGTTCGGATCGCTGTCTGTTGTGCGAGAAAGAAATAAAAGATGACGGCGACAACGTTGGCGATGGTCCGCGCGTTCGGATCCTTGTCTGTTGTGCGAGAGAAATAAAAGTGTGGACGGCGACAACGTTGGCGATGGTCCGAGCGTTCGGATCGCTGTCTGTTGTGCGAGAGAAATAAAAGTGTGGACTAAGGCGATGGCGATGGTCCAGACCAAAGTAGGAGGACTGTGGCAGCAAGTAAAGGGGTATGCAGAACAAGTAGGCGATAATGGGATAGAAGAAGAACGTAGCAAAAAAAGACGGTGAACGAAATAAACGTTAACGGGATAGAAGAAGAAGAAAGTGGTACAACGTAGGAAAAAGGGAACGTGGAAGAAATACGCGGTTACGGAATAGAAGCAAAAAAAAGTGGGCACTAGTAATGGGGAATGTTGGCGAGGGTGGCGACGTTGGCGATAGTCACAGTTGCGTGCGTGGTTAACGCGTCGGCAGTTGTTTCGCTAATGTGATGACGAGCAGGAAAAGTCACGCGAAATCCCACTAACTCAGTTACGCTTTGCCTATCACGTACTAATGCAGAGAAATCCCGCAATGATTACAAGCTTCCCTACCACACACAGGCACGCACGCACAGGCACACACGCACGCACACGCACACCACACGCACGCACAGGCACACACGCACGCACACGCACACACAAGCACACACGTACGCACACGCACGCGCACGCACAGGCACACACGCACGCACACGCACACACAAGCACACACGTACGCACACGCACGCGCACACACAGGCACGCACGTACAGGCACACACGCACACGCATGCACGCAAACGCAGACACGCTCGCTCGCACGCTCACGTACACGCACACACGTACGTAGCACATACACTCACGCATGCAGCACACACACACACGCGGCGCGCACTGCGGTAAACTGACTAAACTTCGCAAATTAGTACATCGCTGCGACTTTAGTATAACCGTGCGACTACCCGTATGCCAACAACATGCTCCCCCACCCGTATCCACATGTACAGCCGACGGTCTGTCGCGATCAATTCAATCGTCATGTTTCATCATACTTCTAAACGACGTCGGCGTCCCCGCGGAGTCGCGTCGTCGCCGGCCACGCCGACATCTGACATACCAATCGCATCTGCACGCGCGCGCATGCACTTACTCGTCTTGGGCGACGCATCCCCGCCGCCGTCGTCGTCGTCGCCGTCCTTGTTCACGGCGGCGTTATTCTGCGTGTACAGCTCGTCCTCCTGCGATATGAACTTGTTATTCGTGTTGCTCTCCTGTCCTTCGGGCTCCTCTCGCGGACCGTTGATCTTCAGCGCTCCCGTCTCCTCTCCCATGTTGTTGTTCTTGTTGTTGTCATCCACCGGCCAGAGGTAGCTTCTGCCATCGCCGGCCTCCGCCAGCGGACCGCGCGCCGCCCGATTACCCGGTTCCGGGGTCGGATTCCGGAAACTCAGACTCTCCGCGGGACCAAAGGTCACGCGTCGGTTACGCGGGAACGTCGGCACCCGGCTCGGCACGGCGTTCGTTAGCGGACTGACGGGTTCCGGCCGCGCTTCCGGCGGACGGCCCGCCGCGCCGGCCGCCTCCGGGTCGCCGCCGATTCCGAGTTTCTCCGATAGAGGGCGTAGGAATTTGAAGGGCGCGTCTTCGCCGCGGATGCTCTGTATCTTCGCCTCGATGAGCGTCTTCCACGGCGACAGGTTGATGAGGCTGTTTCCGCGCTCCGGCAGTCCTGCGATGCTCAGACTCACTTGCCGGAAGACCTTCTGCCACGGCGCGACGTCGCCATCGTCGTCGTCGTCGTCGTCGCCGTCGTCGCCGTCGCTCTCGTTGCCGCACGTGTTGAGCATCTCGTCGGGCGTCGGAAAGCTCCTGCGCTGGCGCGAGCTCAGGTAAGCGCGCGGCGCGTACTCCGGTCTAGTGGCGCCACCTAGCATCGTCGTCTCGATCGCCGGTCTGTCGGCGATGCGAGGGTATCGGTCGGCGTCGGCGGCGACGCTGCTGATGCCGTTACTGCCCCGGTTCGGCCAGCGATTCGTGTCTATGTAATCATCGAGACCGACGTCGTCGCCGCTGACGGTGCTGCCGCGGCGCGGGCTCGTCGGCGGGCTGTAGCGGTACTGTACGTCGAAGTCGTCGAGTAGGCGGTCGTCGCTGCCGACGCTGTTCGTGCTGCAGGGCGGCGACAGCTCCGCATGGCCGACGGCCCTCGGGTGCAGCTCGACGCAGTTGATGTCGACGTCGTCCATGTCGTCGTCGGCGACGCGCCGGTTCCGCTGCAACTTCCCGCGATGCTTCAGTCGCTGGAAGAGCCCCGCGTAGGTGTCGTCATCGTCGTCGACGTCCGTGCCCATGTTGTTGTTGCTGTTGTGTCTATCCGGCGAGTCGGGCGAATAGCTGCTCCGTCCGGCGGTCGATTCCGCGTAGTCGCTGGCGGACGGCGACAGGCTATATGAGGCCGACGCCTCGTCGTCGTTGGGTGGAGGAGTAATCACCATTCGGATGCCATTAGCGCCCTCCCCGTCGTTGTCGGGCGATCCTGCTGGCGGTAGCTCCGACTGCAATTGCATTCGCGAGACACGCAGCGTTATACGGGTGATATGCGCTACTACGGGTTTATATACGACCGGTGATAACGTTTCGCGCGGCCGAAGGAAGGAATGAAGGAGGGAAGGGGGAGAGAAGGACGGAGAGAAGGGTGAGAGAAAGAGTGAGAGAAGGAGGGAGAGAAAAGGTGAGAAAGAGGGCGAGAAGGAGGGAGAAAATGAGGGAGAGAATGAGGGAGGGAAGGAGGGAGAGAAGGGGCAGAGGAGGAAGAGGAGGAGGCAGAGAAGGAGCGAGAGAAAGAGGGAGAGAAGAAAGGAGAGAAGGAGGGAGAAAAGGAGGGAGAGAAAAAGAGAGAGAAGGAGGGAGAAGAGGAAGAGACAGGGAAGAGAGAGGGTAGCAAAGGAGAGAGAGAAGAAGGGAGACAAGAAGGGAAAGAAGGAGGAGGAGAAGACGGGAGAGAAGATGAAAAAGAAGGAGGGAGAGAAGGAGGGAGATAATGAGGGAGAGGAGGAGGGAGAGAAGGAGGAACCCAAGGAGGGAGAGAAGACGGGAGCGAAAGAGGGAGAGGAGGAGAGAGAGAAAGAGGGAGAAACAGAGGGAGAGCAGGAAGGAGAGAAGGAGGAAGAGAAGGAGGGAGAGACGGAGGGAGAGGAGGGACAGATGGAGGGGGAACGATGGGGAAGGGGGAGATAACGAGGGAAAGAACCAGGGAGAGACAGGAGTTAGGGAAGAAGAGAGAGAAGAAAGGAGAGCAAGAGAGAGAGGAGGGAGAGAAGGATGCAGAAAAGGAGAGAAAGAAGGAGGAAGGAAACAAGGAAAAGAATGAGAGAGAAAGAAAGAAAAAGAGAAGGAGGAAGAGAATGAGGGAAAGAGGTTAATTTAGTGTTGTTTCGCACGAGCGAACTCCGACTGATTTATGGCGAGCTGATGCTCTTAGCGTGCATCGAACTGTCGGTTAATAACGGACGGGGGAGGATCCATGACGACTCAGTTAGCGGATTACGACCGAGAAGCTGCGGATACTAACGCATAAATCGACACTCGCGTCGTGGCGTCGCACGTGGTAAGCGTATACTGCCGTATCAGCCGTATTGTCACCAGGAGGGGGCGTATGACAGTTATGAATATCCGCACTTCACGCGAAAACTCGAGCTTGTCGAGCTT